AAATTTTCCAACACTAACTTGTGTAAACTTAAAAAATTACATCCTTCCAATATGAAGAGTAATCAAATTTCAATCACAAGTTTGAACTTTTAAGACTTTAATCAACTCAAAAATGATTAAATAAAAAATTAGTTCAACATGGAATCTAGATAATAAAGTTCCAACCAAATAAACAATTAAAGATTGGATCTTTAACACTTTAGGGGCTTCAAAATTACAAATTCACCATAAAAATTAACACTTGAAGCAATTAATTTGCAAAAATGTGAAAAGCAAGTTTATGTGAAAAATGAACTCACCAAATTAAGCACCAAATATGACTTCATAAACATGATTTATAAGGGTTATTATTAAAGTAGATTAATGATGTAACCATACACATAATTTAACATAACATTAACATGCGATAATTAATCAAGGTTTAAAGATTTAAATATTTTTTCGTCAAAAAGGAAAAACCCCTCGAAAAACATGTTTCTTGGTGGATTTTGGCTTTTGGACAATCATCGAAGAAGGTCAAAACTAATTTAGAACATCACTTCCACTCAAAATTTTCTACTTTTGGGTCGAAATATGGGTTCTTTAGCCAAAATTAGCTTTAAAACGAGATTAAAACTAATTAAAATGAGCTTCTAATCTAACTAGAAAGCAAAATCAGAAATTTAAATCCATTTAAATCACCTTAATTAATTATTAGTTACAATAATTAAATGAGCGCGGCTTCGATATCGTTGTTGGGTTTCATAGAGTCCGACACTACGCGGAATGAAAACCTCCCAAAATCCGCACACAAATTAAAGTAACTAAATATGCATATTAATTAACAATCACATAATTAATTAACAAAGAGAGAGAAAGAAGAAAAGATGATCATACCCTTGATGCGTGCTTCGCTCTTTCTTAGAGCTCGTACTTGAAAGCGTAGAGCTTCGCAAATGCACAAGCCTCCAATGGCTCTCACCCTCGATACCGACCCGAACGACCTCTACCCCGAAGTTAGTCGGGGCTAGACTAAAAGTATTTAGAGTATTAGAACGAAAGTGTTCTCGCTTATGGAGATCCTTCCAAGTTCACAACTCAAGTGTCCTTTCCCAATGCCAAATGATTGGTATTTATAGGGAAAGGAGCACTTAAATTCCAATCTCCCATCAATGCGGGAAAGTTGGTAAAAAGGCATTTATTTAATTTAATTCAATTCTAAAATCAAATTAAAATGAAAATGAATCAACAAACAACAAGTGTCAAGTGGAGAGCAAGGGGTTAGGTGAGGACCACAAGGGGGGACCACCCTCCCCTTGCTCCCCAAGCAAACCACACAAACCGGCTCCCACACACGCCCTTCCCCCCCACCTGGCTCCCAGCCTTGGGCACCAAGGCGCGCCATGCTGGTGCTAGCTAGGCCTGCTAGTGAGGCGCTGTGCTTGCGCGCAGCCCAGCTCGCAAGCCACGCATGCATGCGGGCTGCTGCTGGGTACTGTGATGCGCTAGCACAGCCTAGCAAGTTGTGCTTGCTTGCGGGCTGCTGTGTGCGAGGCACTAGCATGCTAGCACGCCTAGTGCGCCAGCGATGCTGGCCATGCCGCACCAGCCACCTAGCCAGCGCTGCTAGCTTGCGATGCTAACATGCATGCACTGCTATTGCTAGCGAGTTCGCACACTCGCTGCGACCATTTGCGAGGCCCAGCGAGCACTTGCGTGCTGCTAGCCTTGCGATGGTGCGAATGGTGCTGCTAGCTCGCTTAGCATATGCGGCCAGCCATGATGGCCTTGCAATGCGCGCAAGGTATGCTCAGCTAGCATGCTTGGCCCATGCTAGGCATGCTGAGCTTGCGGCTGAGCTTTGCCTTGCGGCAGTGGCCTTGGCTAGCTATATTGCCCTTGGATTGCTCGGGGCATTCCGAGGCTAGGGGTACATTTATAACTTGTTATTTGCTTGATTTCTCGTCTCGTCAATTCCTAAATTCAATTCGACTTACGATGCTCGGTTCTTACGCTCTAAGCTCGAAATCTAACGTCTATGTTTGTAATACTCTAATGACTCATTTAATCCTTCGGATTAATTCGTTGTTTTGATTCGGTTACTCGATTGGGTGTGACCCGTAGGGTTCAGTCAAGATTAAGTTGTAATATTAATTATGCATTACTATTACTGATCGGAAGCGGCCTCCAGCTAGGCATTCCGATTACTTGACCTCACTGAATAATTAGCTTTCTAATAATTCCGAACCCTCTATTGGAATAATACACTTGTTCGAAGGACATCATTCCTTTCACTATGTATATGAGAATCTTGACAATTATCTTTGCATCTGGGCTGAGTTAACTATTTTTGCTGAATCAAATCGATTTCTTTACTTGTAGCAGCATAAAATGTATGATGATCTTGCAGGCCTTGCTATCAACTTTCTTTGCTAGAATTTGCAGCAATTAGGCCTGAACTCTACCCATTCTCCCCCAAAACGTGCTATAACACATTTGTTTCGAGAGAGAATGGAACCAGAAGAAGACGGCCAACATTGCTATAAACACAATCAGGTCCTTGATGACTTGATCTGATCCTTGAGCCCTTGATATAAGACCACACCATACTTCACGGTTGCTCGAAATACTATGAATTTTTACAGTCACATTCTGAATTTGCTAGAGAGTAAACCCTAAGGGTAGTGCTATTGTTGCTAGTGGCCAACCTCTTCTTGAGTGACCTACCTTGTTGCGAATTAGAGCTCTTATAATGCTACATAGAGCCTTTTAGCAAGCTGTGAGTGTGTATCTTTATTTTCGGGGGTTGTTAAATATCACCCTCGAATCTTCGACTAACGCCCGCAAATAAAATTTATTTTACAAATTTACCCTTATATAAAATAAAAGAATTTACCCCCCAAACACAATTTACCTCCCAAAACCTTCACTCCCTCTTCTCCCTCTTAAAAACAATCCTCTCTCTACACCAACACCACCACCACATCCTTTTACCACCCACCACTACCACCACCTCCTCTTTTAACCACCCACCACCAACTCCACTTTTAACCACCTACCACCATGTCCTTTTACCATCCACCACTACCACCACCACGTCCCGCCCACCACCACTACCACCACCACATCCCACCCACCACCACGTCTCAATCTACAAAGTAAGCTGCGAAAATGACGAGGAAGGACAAGGGGAAGGCCGTCGTCGAAAGAGTCGCCGGAGACAAGGTCAGTTTTTTTTTTTATTATTATTTTTTTTCTGGAATTGGCGGAAACGCCCAATTTTTTCGCCAGATCTGGGCTGGAACGCCTAGAATTTTCGGTCACCCATACGGTTATTCGAAAAATCTAGGCGTTTTAGCCTAGATCTAACGAAAAAATTGGGCGTTTCTGCCTTTTTTTTTAAAAAAAAAAAAAAATTTCGTATGAAGTTCATCTTCGATTTCATCTAGGCTGATTTCGTATGAAGAACTCCTAGTAACGGGGGTTTTTGCTATATTAATTTAGGCTACTCTAAATGTTTATTATTGTTGTTGTTGCTTTTTATTGTTGCTGTTTATTATTGTTGTTGTTGCTTTTTATTATTACTGTTGTTGTTGTTTATTATTGTTGTTGTTGTCGTTTATTATTGTTGTTCGTTGTTGCTTTTTATTATTGTTGTTGTTGTTGTTGTTTATTGTTGCTGTGTTTGTGTAAAACCTCTACAATTCTGATGTACTAGGCTACAACTACTGTATTTTTTACTGAAGCTCAGGAGTCAAAAATTTGGAAGAAGCCTTACACGTTTTTACTGTAGCTCAGGAGTCAGAAATTTGGAAAGTGTTTGCTGTTTCTTTGCTACTTGGAGATGTTGGAGTAGTGACACTGTGTCTTTATGGAACGATGTTGGAGATGTTGAGTATTGATTTTAGTTGTCCTTTGGTTGAATATAAATCTTCTAATACGGAGTAACATATGTGTCTAATGCTATAATCAAATATTACGAGTAAAAATAAAAGTTGTAGTACTCCTTTGGTTTTTTTAAGTGTCATATTTACCAAATATGATTGTCATTTTAAGTGTCATATTTTTGGCAGATAACTACATGTAAATATGGAGTATTATACTATGTATTCGTCATTCTCTCTTCTCTCGTTGTCCCATTCAAATCCACTACTATTTTATTATTACGAAGTATTATTTATATTTTTTTCTTACATCGTTTTCTTTTTAATAAAATATTAACGGCTCGATTTTATTATTCTGTAATTTTTTAATGCTCCAGTTACTTACTTCTTTACATTTATGCAATTCTACATACAAACATCTATATCTCATGATTTTCAAGTCACCAAAGCTTTTTAATTAATCACTCTAAATTTTACTACATAATTTACTGTACCAAAACTTTCAATTAAACACTCTACATTTACTCCTTATTTTATTGTTGTTATAAGCATCATTTAGACATTACGTCACATTACATATTTCATTAATTGGTAACTTCCAAATTTAGATATTCAAGGGATAGTTAGGAGACTATTTAATAATGTTTTTAATTAGGGGGACATTTAAAGTGTAAAAAGATAGAGTTATTATTGTTGTTGTTGTTGTTAATTATTATTGTTTAATACTCGTAATGATTTTATTAAAATGATACATAGAACACATTATAGGTTTTCTTTTGTTTGCATCACCTATTTTGTTTTTATTATAATATTATAATTTATTTTAAATTTAGAATGTAGTTGAGGGTTCTGGTCCACGACATGCTAGATCACGCGGTATTAATGCGTCAATTAGGAGAGATAGGGGGATTAGTATACGGGAAGGTAGTTCGGAGCGCGACAGGGTAGTGGATGATTATGGGACTCCGGGTTCGGGTTCGAGTTCGAGGTACGAGGATGATGGACCTGAGGATGATGTAGATGAGGGTGAGGCTGATGGTTGAGGAGCAGCCGCCTGTCGTGACGAGAGGTCCTGATGGGAGATTTACTAGTTCCCGACCACCTCGATCTGCAGCGACTTGGCTTGTTCAGGGGCCGATGGACGGTGGGCCCGAGGATGGGAGCGTTATTCCTAGTTTCGGGGCCCATGTTGCTCGGTATATTTGGGATGGGGAAGATCGACAGTTTTTGCGGTGTCATACTAGAGCTGGTGTGTGTAGAGACTTGACTGACTGGCTAGAGCGATTTACGACTGCCACTACTACGCGGATACGACAGACTGGGTTGTCGCACCTGCCTAGCATTATGCACGACCACCTTGATTTTCCGCTGATTTCTGCTTTTGTTAAGAGATGGCAGCCAGACACGAACACATTCCACCTACCTTTTGGTGAGATGACCATCATGTTGCACGATGTACACCACATACTTGGTATTCGGGTTGATGGGGATATGGTTATCGGTGATCTCCCTATTGACCAGTATAGGACATTGGTAGGTGGGTTGTTACAGTTGACTCTGGAGGAGCTACAGGTCAAGACTCAGAATGCCATCTACAAGAACGGTGGCGTCCATACTGACCAGATTATTGCTAGGTGTCGTAGTGAGGAGCAGCCGGAGGCGGTTCAGGCCATTGGTTACATGTGGGTCCTTTTGGGTAACACGCTCTTTACTGACAAGAGCGGTACCCGTACTCACCCTTCTTTTCACAGTGAGTTGTGTATCGAGGATAACCTGGAGAGGTTGACGAGATACTCCTGGGGTTTAGCCACACTAGCGTACTTGTATCGTCAGCTCGGGCATGCCACCCGAAATGGATGTGATTCTATCGCGGGTTGTCTAACTCTTCTACAGGCTTGGATATACGAGTACTTTCCATGTTTTCAGCCTCACTAGGGTGTGTTGACACGGGACGTCCCTCATGCTCATGCAGGGTTATAGGATGTTGGTATGACGTGGAAGCATCAACAGCGTCTCGTGTCCTTTCGTACTCGACTTAACCACCTGGCTAACTATGAGGTATAAATAGATACGTAATTACTATTTGTCTTGTATTGATTTTATTTACAATTGATTTATAGGTATAACTAATTTGCAGGTATGTTGGTTGCCATACGGTGCTTTTCCTGCACAACAGGTGCCTAGGACTATGTTTACTGGATGTATTCGCTATCGAGGCATCATAGAACCATATATGCCCGATCGAGTTGTTCGACAGTTGGGGTTTATATAGGAGATTCCCGGTGACATGATTAGGCCTGATGATGCTCAGAGACCACTTAGTGTGAAGTCTTATAGGGTCAGTTTTTCAGCTCAGATGACTACTCTCATGTGGGATAGATTTGTCCCCGGTGCTGCGTTCAGTATTCTGCTTGGTGGATATACTAGAGTTCCACGTGGCGGACATACTTGTGCCCCTAACTACCTACCATGGTTTGGGAGAGTTAGCCATCCTATCGTCACTCCTAATGTTGAAGATGATGTCAGTCTTCCTAAGAGGACCAACGTTGATCACATAAGTTTTTTGTTAGTTTTTTAAAAATGAATCATTTTTTTCCTATTATTTCTATTAATACACAATTATAATGGTTTGTGCAGCGGGTAGGGCGATTCATGGTTACAGTGCAGCGATCACTTAGTGAGTACCCTACGCTATCAAGGGATACTAAAGTAATGTTGTAGCAGGTGATTGATGATTGGAATAAAATAAATGGACTTAGAGATTAGTTGTAATATGTATTCTAGCTTTGACTTTGTTGTTTTATTAGACTATGTTTTGGATGTTGTTAATTGACATTTATGTTTTATCACATTTGTTGAGAATTATCAAGTTAACATTTATATATTATTATTTATTCTCTAATTACGTAGTACTTACTCAGTAAATTTTAAAAAGAATTGCTTAAATAAAATTAAAAAATAATCATGTTTATTAATAAAGTTATATAAAGTTTAATAAAAATCCATAACAGTACTCGACAATACTCAAGAGCTAACTAATGTCTGCCATAATTGAAGCCTTCTCTCGAACCTTGCCTCCCATTCGTGTACACTTGCATGTCGAGCGTTAAACCAAATTGGTGAAATTGGAGGAAGTGGGTGGTCTTGATCCATATGCAAACGAATGAAATGCGATCCACCAACAGTTCCAATCACGAACTCTACACTAGGCCGGCCTGTCTAAGCGTCCACGATTGTTCAACAATAAAAAATGGTAGATGGATAGTAGCATGATGGTCTATTTCCTACTCCATAACAAATCACTACCATATTCCATATTGTGGCAATAGCAAACAAATCCTGCTGTGCTACCATCCAATGCTCCTATCCATACGCATCACCATCCCATCTGATCCAGTCTATCTCCCTTTGCAGTCCTGAACTAACCTATTGATCCCATATGTCGTAGTAAATCATGTTGTACAACATGAGAACCAACCTCATTTGTAATATGATGTCGAACTAATCGCTATTCCTCCTGATCTCCGTAACAAAAATCTGCTACGCAATGAAATACGCAATTCCCATCTCCAACTACGTCCTTAACACCTACGACGTAAGGCCAAATGATGTTGGGAATCGCGTAGCTGTATCTACATTGTCGCATGTCGAACCTAGTACCTACAAAATAAAAAACATAATATGAAATATAATTAAGTTATTACACAAAATAAATTAAAATATACGATGTATGAAAACATTATTTAATTATATCGATAATCACCTGTATCAGATGGGGGTGGTCTACTTCTGGATCGATTATCTCGCCCATTACGTTGAACATGCTCAAAAAACGAATGATCTCGCCTGTTCCTTCTCTCGGGAGGTCGTCCCCTTACTCGAGGGTTGACTCGAGGCTCCTGAAGGTCATCGTAGTTAGGATCCATCTCACCCTCAATCACTCGAGACACGTGCCTAAGCATCACAGGGTCGCTGGCAATAACCTGATCAACAAGGGTGCGGAAATGAGCTCGATCCTCATCATTTTCATCAACTATATCAGGAATGTCGACACCCTCTCCAATGACAAGGGTCCTCCAATATGGATGAATGTCCTTCGTGTACAACCCCTTCCCTGCAGTAATCGAGTCATATATTTGGCACGCACAAGGTAACCCGTGGGTAGTACGTAGAGCACACCCACAACGTCGATGGACATCCGTACTCAACCCCCGCATCCTGTTCGTCTCACCGAGAAGAATAGACAGACAATAGTGGGATACCTTTCCGTTCAGCTGATGCAAAGGCTTCTGCTTGTACTTCTGACCATGAGTTGCTCTACATGCCTCCAACCCATTACGAATGGCTATGATCTGGTTCTCAATCGAGCAATGCACCTGAGCCCAAACTGTGTCTAAAGAACCTGTAGAACTGTCAATCCAACATTTCAATGTCGAATGCTGGCTCTCAACCCTGCAGTTGTTAACATTGCCGAAGTGCAGTAACTGGTTCGTCCAAAACATCACAAACTTCTCCTTGTGTATGAGCCAAGTGTCCACAACATAGTCAATCACTTTCGGCCATCGACCCCACTTGGTTTTCAGCTCTACAAGCTCTCTTTCATATGCCTCTTCAGATGTAGCATTAATCACATGCCTCCACCTCCCATTTTTGAACTTGACACCAATCTCCTTCTTTTTTTCAAACATGGAAGTAACCTTCGCCTCAACATCTTTGTTAATATGCCACACACACAACATGTGTCTTGTGTTGGGAAACACGCTCTTCAACGCTGCACAAAGGCTAAGCTCCCTATCTGTCAGTAGTACCGACGACTCTCTATGATGACCGATCAACAACCTCAAGCATTGAAGCACCCACCGATAACTTTCTTCGGACTCCTACCTCATGAATGCGTATGCAACAAGAAAGTTCTGATTTATCGGTGTAACCCCAACAATCTCAAAGAATGGCATGCCGTATCGGTTCGTCTTGTAAGTGAAATCCATACCTATCACGTACGGGTATGTGCGTAGCAAATTTGTCATGATCGGGTGTGCCATGAAAGCATGTTGCAACACATTGTTGGTATTAGTCATAACCCAAGTAAGGTATTTGCTCTGTCTGGCACCTGGTGAACCACCTCTCCTCCCTCGAATCGCTCCATTCTGATATTACTTCTGCAGTTGTAGACATGCCTGATGTTTGGATGGTCTCCGGGAAACTTTTCTACAAGAGTTCTCATGATATGCCGAGGTGGCGCCTGTGCCTGAGTCATGTCACGTACTACCTGCTTGGCAGCAAGACTAAGACCGCTGATTTGTCGATGTCCCTCGGGATACACAACCAAAGAATGATTGTGAGTGTCGTTCAAGCAACTGAGCTTCCAACCACTTACTACTCTGACATACTCAAACTTGAGTTTGAAGGGACAACTGTTTGCCTTGCTTTTCGTGTCTTTGCGTATCGTGTTCATCATGTCTCTTATCATGCTCTTTTATCCACGATCACAACTCACATATCGATACGGCCGACCACTCCGATCGGTCTTGTAAGAAGCCTTCACTAACATAAATCCGAGCGGGCGACAAACATTTTGTGCCTACAGAATAACATCCTCAAAACTCGGAAACACAGTGTCTGTCAAAAAATGTCCGCTATAGTCCACACCATCACCATCCTCGGACTCAGAATCATATATAATATTAATAACAATAAAAACAAATATTAATAAAAGTTGAGAAACAACAAAAACACAACTAATAATAATAATCTAACAACGTACAACTAATAATAATAATAATAATAATAATAATAATAATAATAATAATTCTAACAATACACAAATAATTATAATAACAACTAAAAGGTGTGATCCCTCACTTATAAACGATTGAGAATTTTATAACTATAGAAATTAATTAAGTAGAGTAATTCAAAACGACCCTCCTAAACAAATTCGTAGTATATAACTATAATTTTTTGAACAACATACTTATGAACAATACAAACAATAACATCTTAAGATTGATAGAACAATACGACCCTCCTAAACAAATTCGATGCCTTATGAACAATTCATCCAAATATAAACAACATACTTTACAAATGATCTTGGTAATCTTTCAAAGTAAAACAATCGGAATTGATAGAAAATATCAGTTGTCAACGTGTTTTTTTAAGAATTAAATTTCAAAATTGATAGAAAATTCGAAATTTTCAGGCAAACGCCCAGAAATTTCGAAAACAGAAAATTAGATAATCGGAATTTCGAAAAAAAAAGTAAATAATCGTACCGATTCCGTACGGTCCGACGAGCCTCCGGCGACCAACGTAGGTGGTGTTTTCGGCCTTTCGTTGTCTTCCATGGGATCCAACGAATTAGGTTTTGCAAAATTTAAATTATTTGTTTGATTTTGAAAATTACAGTGGTTGGTGGTTTAACGCGATCGTTGGTGGCCGGTGTGAGCACTAGAGAGAATGGTAAAAAAATTTATGTAGGATAAAAGTGTTAAGTTTATGTAAAAATTAATATTTTATAATATTTTTATAACAAGGCTACGTACGTCATTTTAGGTTATTTTACGGGCGTTAGTTAGAGATTCAAGGGCGACGTTTAGCGGTCCATTTATTTTCTGACCATTAGCTACACGGGGTAGGATAGTATACTCCTACTCCCCCCTTTTTTCCTGCCTTCCTTGCCACGGCTATTGGATGCCTCTCTTTAGCATTTAGGGTCTTGCTATGCCATTGCGTCTGTCATAACCGTCTGCTACAATTTCTCTTAATTAAATTCAGAACAAGCTGAGAAAAGATTTAATTTAATTTTTCTTGGCGGAAGAAATGTCGTAGGCGATTCATCGTTTGTTTCATTGTCTAGAATAGTCTGTCTTTTTTATCGTTTATCTCACCTTGCTGCTGCTGTTGTATGCCTTCGCTAACACCTACTCTAAAGAAAATTGCAATTTGGGTATCAACAAACTTGACTAATCGCGGTGTCGCCTGAGAGATTAGTAGTTATCCTGCCCATTCTCCCCCAAATAAAATGCTCTGGGATATTTAGGGAGAATGTAAGTAGAAGCAGATGATCATTCCTCAATCAGAGCTGAGTATATAGTGTACTCTTACCCCCACCTTTTTTTTTTGTAATCTGAGTTGATGAAGCACTTCGCAAGGTTTATGTTCTTTCTCGCAGCTCAACAGGTTGCCCATTATTCTTGGTTGTCATACTTCAGTGTTTGCTGGTGTCACATACAGCCTTTTACTTGGAAATGAGCTGATGCCGAATCAAAACAAAAGTCTCTCTCTGCAATTTACTGCTTCAAAACTGCTGTTGTGCTCTAAAATACTCTACTTAGTGAGCAGCTGCGCTGTGGCTTTTTTCTTCCCATCATCCTGGCTATCTAGAGGGCCAAATATCGCTTCAAACTTTCGCCAAACATTACTATATTCTCCCTGCGGAATTGCTATTATCAATTGCTTCAACTTGCGCTTGCAGCTGCTTTGTCATCATTAATTTAATATAATGTCGCAATTTTGCTTTTATGGCAGCAATCTCGTATCGTAATATAGCTGCAACTGGTCTGTTATTGCCTCCGTATCTACCATGTACACCTCGATAAATTATCATTTGCTTTATTATCATGGCTAATGTCCTTTGCTTTAATAAGATATAGCAAGCACCACCATTGGAACATATGGCGAGCACCACAATCAGACAAGCAACTGAACTAAAGAGCTTTATCTGCCAATCTTCAGAGTCTGCAAACCTGATTAACCACTCTTTGCTACTGCTGCTGCTCGTGTGTGCTACTCTTCTTTGACAGCATCATCAATAGCCTTCAACATTGTGGAACAAGAACAATTATCTATAGCACAGGCCTTGTAAACTGCCAGCCTAGCAGATGGTAAGCCACCTCTTGCCGTGCCTTCTGCTAGTCCAAAATAACAAGCGTTCATAACTTGTACTCCTGCTGCAGTTGCTGATGTGCGAATCCTGTAGCTGGCATGGTCCATTCTCTCTCAAAATTGCTTTAAAATGCTTATTTGAGAGAGAATGCGACTGAAAAAAGACGTTGAGATGGATTTCGAGATTTAGCTAAGTTGAAACTCTCTATTCATGAGCTGGAGTTTGCTCAATTTATGCTTGCTTGCGCTTACAAGATGATCAGGTAGCCTGTGGTACTGGTTTGCAGTGGAGTTTCCCAATAGGACATCTTCGGAGCATTTGTGAGCTTCAACTTTTTGGCCGTTTGTTGAACACAATATAACAGTATACTCCTACTTCCCCCTTTGACACTTTAGTCTGATTTTCATGCATAATCAACGAGGCTTTCTCTTATCAAAGTTCATGAGGTAAACAAACAATCTGAGCTTTTCCCCTCTGAACTGGGCAACTTAATCAACCAAACAACTGCACAAAGGACCTATGACTGCAGATTTCTATATTCTAGAGTTTCATCTATCACTCCATGTCGCTGCTGTCTGTATGCTTTTTTACGTTTCTTTTATTTGCCACCTTTGCTAGAATTTGCAGCAATTCAATGTGAGCTTACTAATATTCATATAAGTAGTAATGTTGTTCATTCTTCTTCAAAAATGGTCTGGGATGTTCATTCTAAGTAAGAATGTAACTGGAAGAGGGTGACCAATATCGCTGAAGCAGATTTATAGGTTGTCAAATATATCCTCCAGCTATTTGTGAAGGTTCCAGCAACATATATCAAATGATTCAAATGCCCCATATGATTTTTCTTTTGTATTCTTTACTTCATCCCTTGGACAAGATCAACAAGTAGAGTGTGGTACTGATCCACGACTGTCCTAGTATTCTGATTCTTCTCACCTTTTTCACCAGACATTTAACGTGCAAGTTGAGACAAAAACAAAGCCACTTTGATACTATTTCTCGCAGAAGTATGAGTTATGGGTATATCATTGCATCATTACCAATCCTCTCACACTAAAACATACCGACTACATTGAAGGTACGTTCAAGCTTTTGTACGGGTGGTTTACGGACTCTCTTTGTGCTACAGCACAAGCATCACATTCAAGTTCACATAATTTATTAAGCTCGCAATTAGGTTCTAGGATCAACTTCTAACACCCAGCTTTAAGAATTTTCTCTTGGGCATTTTATCAAACATTAACCGTGCATATCCCTTTCTTCAAGCTTTTTGTACTTCTTGCTTATCATTTACTCGAGTTTACAAGTTATAATATGCCCACAAAATATTTGTCTATACTCCAAAAGGTCACAACAAACCAAATGCAATAGGGAAAGGCAAAATCATCATGCCTGAAGTTATTTCATGCAATCTCGCCATATGTAAATCTCAATCATACAATTCCACATATATTCCATGATTCTTATAAATCAAATGTAGCAGGCATGGGCAAATTTGTTTATCAACAATTCATTCCGCATATATTCCACAATTCTCATAAAATAAGTAATCGAAATTGTAATTATATATTAAGATGAGGAATGTTGCCTGTTTTTACGGAGCAGAAGTCAATTGTAGGATGTGAAGTAACTTGACGAACGACGAAAATAGAGCAGTTCTTCATGCTTGTAGAAGTTGATGAACTTCAGAGCTAGTAGGAGGCTTGAGAGCTCCTTCACCCTTCCTCTTCTTGTATTTTTTTTTTTTTTTTTTTTTTAATTTATGAAAAATAATTTTATTAATTATTCCATCACATTTGAGTAAATATTGGGTTGAAATATGTGATTTGTTTTGCCTAATCACTATATTGG